CCAGCTAGAAAGACAGATGGGTGCTGTGCAGTTAAAAATCTGTGCAAATAGGACAGATGGGTGGTTTAAATATTTTAAATGTCTCCATGAAAATGTTTCTGTGGAGAGTGTGACTCTTCAAGTTACATGCTAAAAAATCCTAGTAACAATTAGGAATAATAGAGTTCATATAAAAAGTAATATTTAAAAAAAAAATCATGTATGGAATTCATTGAATTCACTAGTTATACCTTTTAAACTTACAGTACAATTTTAAAAAATATATCTTTAAAATTTAAAAAATATATCTTAATTGTTGAAAGTATTACAGATGTTCCTTTCCCCCCTCATTGAGCCCCTCCTTCCTACTCTTGCCTCTTCTCAGGCCTTCACCACACTATTTTCTGTGTCCATGGGTTATGCATATATGTATATTAGTTATAATGAAATTTAATAAATTAGAATACAACACTGGAAAATTCTGTCCTGGTATATGCTTGCTTTACTTTCTTATTATGAATATTCGGACTCTAGAAGATTTTTTTTATTATTTGAAATCAATTTATCTGTATAAGTGCAATGATCTTTTGAACTGTAGTCAGAATTTGTTGAATTTCAAGTGACAGAAACTTAAAGTAGCTTAAAAATGGTAAACCAATAAAAACAACAACAAACTACCACACATAAAAAAATCCACTTTAAAGGAAAGGGTCTTAGAGAGGGCTTTGGCAGCTTCTCTAGTAGGTGTTCAGGGACTTTCACTCTTTTCAGGCATTAATGTGACTTAGCTCCCCGCCAAAGGGCTGGTTTCTTTTTGGTCAGGTATGCACTTTGGATCTTGGACGTCACCTTACAATAGAATTCTCCTCCTGACTTGTGTGGATAGGGAGAAAAAGGGGTTGTCATTTTCAAGGAAGGATGTGGGACTGGCCATAGATGTATTAATGGCATTGACTCTTGGGGACTTTTTTGAAATGTATTTCTGCAGGAAGGATGCTAAGTAGCAATGTTTATGGGTAAATACAGTATTCTATGACAAAACGATTATAGTAACTAACAGTAGGGGAAGGTATTCCTGAGGACATTAAAAGTTATGTGTGATTAGTATTATTGAAGTGATTTATTAATTGCTAAATAAAAAAAATATCCCTAGTGTAATCTAGAGTGAGTTAAAACTTTCGTAGCGATTTATATTAACTAAGGCAAAAAGATTTGTTTCTTAATGAACATTAAACAAATTTTAAAATCTCATAAAGAGCTAATATGCTAATTAGACCAAACAGCAGAACGACCATCCAAATGACCTTCCGGACAAAGCCAGGGCTGTGAGGGCCGGCCCTTTGCATGAATTCTGTGCACCAGGCCTCTAGTTAAAATATAATAGAATAAAGAAATCACATAGCATTCTTTATATAGTAAGGGGATGAATTATTTCATGAATTCTTATCTCAGTTATATATTTAAAACTTTGTATGATTATTTACTGGTTAATGAAATAAAATGTATTATCCAAATATATTAATCCTGTGGGTCATTCGTGGCTTAAAAGTGAGAAAACCCACTACTTTAGGGGCTAATGTTATTTTTTTTTTTTCTGATTCCTTCAGATAGAGCTGAATTAATATGTTTGCTCTTATCCCCCTTATTCCAGAGTGGGAACCTCTTTCCAGTCAGCAGTGAGAGGGGTAGGGAGATGCCCTAGTGATTGCGTTATTGTATAATCAAGAAATTATGTCATAAAGTTAAACAAGTGATCTAGGGCAACATTTTGTGAATAGCTTGAACAGTTATTAATAGCACCATGTGTGTGAACGCTAGTGGAGCATGGTTAGAGATTCATGCTCTGTAAAAGAATGATGGGCAGCTCCCTAGGAGAAGTGAGTGGTGGTTCTAGTACTTGGAAGCACTGGAATTTGTTGGTAAGAGACATGTTAGTCTGCTAGAAAGGTTTGTTTCCTTTTCCACTAGCTGGATGTAGTGACTGTGCCTCAGAATTAGAGTGGTGACGAGAAAATCAAGGGAATTCCTCTGTTGTTCTACCTGGGCATGGTTTAGGGGTCTGAGGTCTCACCTCTGCAAAAACCCTGACTTTTTCTCTGCTTTTGGCTCTGAGCTAGAGATATTCTCCAATAGGGAATGTTTTTCTGATCCCTAACCACAGGGAATACTCAGATAGGTGCTGAGCCTAAACAGCAGCCGTAAAGGAGAGCCTCTGGTCTTGGAAATTCTCACCGTAAGATCTATTTTGGGGAGAGGATTCATTTGGAGGACTCTCCTTGGAAAGAGAGCAAAAATTCATAAATATTTTGAAAAGTTTATTCCATAAATGTATGCAATTGGCAAGAAATACTTGTTTGATTTACATAAAAATTAAAGATGTACTTAAAATTTGTATTTATATAGTTATGTATTCATATTATCTATCTGTAAATATTTTCTGAATAGTTTTAGTAAAGGAACCACAAAAAGTTTTGGTTCATATTAGCATTATCTCCTAGACTTGTCCTACATCAAGTCTTAATTTCTGTGCTTTGATTTTCAAGTCTTTCACAACCTAAAATTGCCCTATTTATACAGAGATATTTTCTTCATTTCCTCAAAATTTGCTCTCTTTGAGCTTATTTCTAAGCCTACCTAGGTGCAATTGCTTATTATTTCTATGTTTTCACTTAGTAGCCAAAATCACCAGACCATGGGCTTTATGTCAAGGACTCTGCTTTGCTGAATACTGAGTTCCCAGTGTTTATCACAATTCTCAGTGATAATCCTAATAAAAGAGAAAAATAGTAATTAGCCGTACCTCCGCTACCCTTCCCATTGGCTAATCAGGGCGATATGTAAATTAACTGCCAGCCAAGAAGGCAGCCCGCAGCCAGGCAGCTTGAAGCGAACATGAGGCTTGCTTGCTTCAGTGACGGAGGAAGCTAATGTTTCCCGCCTGCCGCTGCCGGCCTCTGAGCTTGCAGTTTTAAACATTGTTACAAATATAGAAGCTAAACAAAACCCCAGAAACCTGCTTTCAGCCAGCTGGGATCTCAGAGCTGGAGTTGAAACAGTGTTTTGATTGTACAACCCAAACAAACCAGATACCTGCATTCAGCAGCGGAGGCCTCAGAGCTGGAGCCAAGCCTCAGAGCTAAAGCTGGCCCAGAATAAAAAAAGAAAAAGAAAAAAAGGAGCGGTTGGGAGCTTCAGTCACCCGCCAGCCTGAAAACAGCCCTCAGCCCCTCACCCAGACTGGCCAGGCACCCCAGTGGGGACCCCCACCCTGAAGCGTATGTGACCAGCTGCAAACAGCCATCAGCCCCTTACCCAGGCTGGCCAGACACCCAAGCGGGACCCCCACCCTGATCCAGGACACCCTTCAGGGCAAACCAGCCGGCCCCCAACCTGTGCACCAGGCCTCTATCCTATATAGTAAAACAGTAATATGCCTCCCAGCACTGGGATCAGCGGAGCTGCGAGGCATCCTGGCACCGGGATCAGCGTGACAGGGGGCAGCGCCCAAACCCCCTGATCGCCCTGCGGCTCTGTGTGTGACAGGGGGCGGGGCCACAACCTCCTGATCTGCCCTGCTCTGTTTGTGACGGGAAGGCACCCCAACCCCCTGATGAGCCCTGCTCAGTGCCTGATAGGGGGGAGCTCCCCAACCCCCTGATCGCCCTGTGGCTCTGTGTGTGACAGGGTGCGGCGCCCCAACCCCCTGATCCGCCCTGCTCTGTGTGTGACAGGAGGTGGTGCTCCAACTCCCCCATCGGCCCTACTCTGTGAATGACAGGGGGGAGCTCCTCAACCCCCTCATCGGCCCTGCTCTGTGCATGACGGGGGGGGGGGGCTCCCCAACCCCCTGATAGGCCCTGCTCTGTGCGTGACAGGGGGGAGCTCCCCAACCCCCTGATTGGCCCTGCTCTGTGCGTGACAGGGGGTGGTGCCGCAACCTGCCCATCGACCCTTCCTTGAGTGTGACTGGGGGCGGTGCCCCAACCCCCCAATCGGCCCTACCCTGAGCGTGACTGAGGGTGGCATCGCTACCTCCCGATCAGCTCTGCTCTGTGCATGACAGGGGGCGGCGCCCCTACTCCCCAATCAGCCCTGTTCTGAGCCTGACCAGGGGCTGAACCTAGGGATTAGGCCTTCCCTCTGCCACCCGGGAGCAGGCCTAAGGCAGCAGGTCATTATCTCCCGAGGGTTCCCAGACTGCGAGAGGGCACAGGCCGGGGTGAGGGACCCCCCTCCCCTCGGAGTGCACAAATTTTTGTGCACCTGGCCTCTAGTCAGTTAATAATATTCATTGAATGAAAGGAAGGAAGAGAGACAGTGGAGTGTGAGGGCATGTGTTGGGGGGTGGGAGCGGCCAGGGAGAAGTCTATGGGGGAAAAAGGAGACATATATAATACTTTCAACAATAAAGAATTTAAATTAAGGAAGGGAGGGAGGGAGGGAGGGAGGGAGGAAGGAAGGAAGGAAGGAAGGAAGGAAGGAAGGAAGGAAGGAAGGAAGGAAGGAAGGAAGTTAGGAAAGGGAAAGAGAAGGAGGAACTATTGTCTATTTTGTCTTCCTTTTTACCTTTCTAGACTTGTCTCATCTTTTAAGGTCTGTTTTCTCCACAAAGTGTCCCTTGACTTCCCTTGTCTTTGTCGATATCTCAAACATAGACCTCAAAATTTAACATTTATAAAATTTCTTATTTTCTTGGTGGTACAGTTTTATGTGCACTGTTGTTCCAATTTGGTGTAAGCTGCTTGAACATGAGAAGGATCATATATCTGTACAGTTTTACAAATAAATTGTACATTATCCTTCACTCACCAGTTACTGCAGTGCATGCCTCCTTCAGAGCGGCCTCTATACAAAGTATTGGCAAATAGCATAGAGCTAAGCACATAGTGTATGTTCAACAGACTTTTGATTAGCCATAAAATGAGTGAAATAGCATAAAATAGTGGTGGCTCTGTTTGCACACAGAGAAGATAAAACTTTTTTATTATCTCTCTTATAACTGTCTTCAATGATTTCTCCAGGGAAAGAGACCGAAAAGGCCAAGGAGCGTTACGACAAAGCCACGATGAAACTTCATGTGCTGCATAATCAGTATGTATTGGCATTGAAAGGGGCACAGCTTCATCAGAATCAGTATTATGACACCACCCTTCCTCTGCTTCTGGACTCCTTACAAACGATGCAAGAAGAAATGATAAAAGCACTGTAAGTTACATTTCGTATTTGACATAAAATACTGTCATAAAATGATTTTAACATTAGTTGCTCTCCTACTTAAGGTTTTATGTAAAAGTTGTCTGTGTTTTGTGAGTTTTCTTATTGACCCAGACCCATGGGTGTTTCAGACCTGTTTTTCCTCGATTCTTCTTGATTTTCACTTTTGGTATCTCTTTAGTTTATGCTTCTCTCCTAAACTTCTAGCCAGCCCCAAGGATTTCCCTTCTCTTTTTTTAATATGTTTTTGTTTTGCTCCAATTAAGTGGAAATTTATATGAAAAAAAAATTCAATAGTTAACAAGTATTAAGAAGTAGATATCTGTCTCCACAGGGTTGGGAATTTAAATTTTGAGCAACAGAAAAGCCTGAAGGAAAGATTTTTTGAAGGTTTATTGGCTATATTCTTGTTGTATGTGATTAAAATCAACCAACATTTATGAGATTCTAATGTCTGCAAAGCACATTGAATATAGAGATGAGTAGGCCATCAAGGAGCTAACAGAGTATTTTGGTTAAATGCACACATGTGTACCATACATAGCGATTTAAGACAGTAGAAAAATGTAAGCCACCCTTTGGTAGACTTCATCTTTCTTATTAGCTGGGTTAGGTGATCCCTTATTTTCCCAAGAAGATAAAGTGTTTTTCGTCAACATAAATATGTATACTTTTAAGGTTGTTAATGAAAATAATGAAATCTCTGCTTAAAACATTAAATGAATAAATTTAGTTACATCTACTTTAAATTACATATTGTTTATTCAGAAATATTTATTTTTCCTATTCTCCATTTAATGAATCAATATTTTTCAAACTTTTCACATGAATCTTCAATAATATTATTTTCATCATCACTAGGACATATTTTTAAGACATATAATGGTTTCCCACAGCATATTATCTTTACTTGCTAAGAAATTGTTTCAGATCTAGCATTTAAAAAAATCCAACCATCATGATATCACTGAAATTGAAACCCATGTCACAAGTACTCATTCATATAATGTTAGGAGACTTCATGCCCCCCCTCCATTTGTCTTAAAGGTAAATATTAATGATTTCCACATCGTAACGACTTACTGTATTGCTTTATAAGGTATCTAGATAGACTTATTTACATTTGTATCATTCAGTACTTTGAATTATTATTAGTCGTATCCTCAGGGATACTTACTAAATCCTTATTAAATTTCTCTGTCTCCCCATTTTAAAAAATTGTGTCTATCAGGTGATTTTTGTAATCATTCCAAACTAGCATTGCTTGAAGCAGTTTAAGTCTAATTTTTCTTTGCCCAAACATTATTTTGCTATTTAAAATAAAATAACTGAGAGAATATTTCATAATAAGAGAAACTTGGTAATGATTTTGGAAAAGAAAAACAGAGAATATCTTATTTTATTTGGGAATATGCAGTATAAACTTGTCTGTCTATACTTATTGCTGAGGCCAGTAATGACCAATGCTATAGCATTCTCAAGTTGGGATCAGGTCTTTGCAACAGAATAGTTTTTCCTTTTGCATTTATTAGGTAATACTAAAAAAATTATGACATTTTTGCTACTGAGTGGAGGCCAGGAGAAGATATCTAGATGTCATTGAAGTTAGAAGAGCAGAGGCCCAGGAGCAAGAGAAGACCCAAGTGGCAGGGCCTATGAGGAAGTTGCAGGTACTAGAGAGACACATTAGAGAGACTGTTGTGGACCCACAGCTCCATGCTATGGAATCCAACATTTCTATGATAATGTTGAGGAACATAAAGCGGTCAACACTGACCTTACATTTAGACACCTCAAAGACAGGTTGGAGAAGGTACATAAAACTACCATCTGTAAATATTGATATTACATTTCTCATTTGGTTATTCTGAATCCTTTTTGGTTCTATGTTTTCTTGATACACTTTAAAATGTTCTAAAATTCTATTTTTGTTTTCAGAAAAGGCATATTTGATGAATACAGCCAGATAACTAGCCTTGTTACGGAGGAAATAGTGAATGTCCATAAAGAGATTCAAATGTCGGTTGAGCAGATAGACCCTAGCACAGAATACAATAATTTTATAGATGTTCACAGGTATGTATGATATTTTCATTCTTCTTTCAGTATTGGTGGCAGTATTATTTTTTATATCATATAATATTTACCTAAATTGAAATAAGAGATAATGATGAGCTTGTTAGGACATTAGATATTTCAGATTAATTTGTCTCCTTTTAATTACTTTCAAAGTCCTTTCTCCAAGATTATAACTATATATATAGTGATCTTTAAAAATTTTAGGGTTGTCACTAGTATATCATTTCTTAAGCCTGTACTTAATCCATGAAAATGTATTTTCTTTTTAACATTTCTATAGTAATAATACTATGACTTTGTGTATTAAATTTTATACTGTACCAATTACTTCTCCATGCATTCATCGTCTTATTTTATACTCATTACCATTATGACAGGAATAAAACCACTTAATATCCGCATTCTATAAATGAGGAAATTAAGGCTGAAATTACATGACTAGATCTTTCCTGCCTGGGGTTTAATGTGATTTATTTTATTGATGTTTACTTTGTGAATGTAGTTTTTGATGAGAAAATATATTCTGCCTTTGGTGTGTAGTAAGATATATCATGATAGGCTATTCATATTAATCAAAATGATTTGGCATGTTTTACTAGAACATCAGCTGCTAAAGAGCAAGAAGTTGAGTTTGATACCTCCTTACTAGAAGAAAATGAAAATCTTCAGGCAAATGAGATCATGTGGAATAATTTAACAGCAGAAAGTTTGCAAGTAAAGTAAGTATTTGCAAAACCTGAACGCTTAAATATTACTATTTTTATTTATAGTTGTACATTCTGAGATTTAAAATCCCAAGTTTTATTTTTTGCAAGCAATGAAAAGTAAATTAAAAAGAAACTATCTGGCTAGTGTTGCTCAGTGGTTGAGCATCAACCTGTGAACCAGAATGTCACTGTTCAATTCCCAGGCAAGGCACATGCCTGGGTTGTGAGCCCAATTCCCAGTGAGGGGTGTGCAGGAGGCAGCCAATCTATGATACTCTCTCATCATTGATGCTTCTGTCTCTCTCTCCTTTTCCTTCCTCTCTGAAATCAATAAAAACATATTTTAAAAACAGTAATAAATAAACTGATTGTTATTTGGTCAGAATGAAATGTTTTGAGAAATATGTTAACTTTTACTCATTATTCACTAATTTATTTTGGTAATTCCAAAAATTAAAATTCTGTGCAATGTATTCATTCAGTTATTGCTAATATCTTATATTGGAATAATACTTTATTCTTTTCAAAACTTATTTTTTTAAACCCATTTTTTTCTCAAAATTCACTGGCAGAACTATTTTGGAAATGAAGACATACATGAGTGTTTTGTGATAAGAGACTTGTAGATGTCAGCAGCATTTAGTACAAAACTTAGACTTTTAATTGAGTTCCCTTTAAACAGGGATGTCTTCTATTAAAGGCTAGTAAAAGAGTTCTTTCTCCACTTTGTTGTTACTATTTCATAAAATTTTAAGGAGTTTTGAGAAATCTTAATGTGTTTTTTTAGTCCTTTCCAAATGTTAAAGCCTGTTAATAGTACATTTTTGAATTTAGAAAATATAATTAAGCCATTCTACTCTTATATATTTAATCTATCTCTTGATTTTGTCAGGAGCAACACAAAGAAACATATCTATTAATAAGCACTATATGTACTTGTTTCTGTGCCAGAACTACAACTAGAAATGATTATGTACTCAATTGGTTTTTAATATTGGGCATGTTATATCATCTGACCTGTTGGAAGTTTATTTCAAAAGTGTCAGCCAAAAGTCTCCATCTAATACAATTAAACAGTCTCCTTTCTATGTTCAGTAACAGTGTTGTAGATAAAAGTAACTGAATGGGATTGAAGAAACTAACAATGCTTGTCACTTGTATAAGATGAAGGCTTAGTAATCATGGTGGACTGACTATTGCTGAGAGAAATAGAGGCATGGGGTACCTGCGTTAGAAGGTTTTTCCAGCAGCTATATTGGGATTCTTGAAGATGTGTCCCAAGTTTTGAAGCCCTTCCTAATAGTTTCACTTCGGTTTTAGATACATTGTTACAATGTCAGTTATCTGTAAACCAGTGGTTCTCACCCTGGGTGAGTTTTGTCTCCAGGAGAAATTTGACAATAAATATCTGGAGACATTTTTGTTTATCAGGTGGGAAAGTGTTACTGGTATCTATGTAGTGGGTAGAAACCATGAATGCTGCTGAACATTCTTCAGTCACAGAACTGCCTCCTACAGCAAAGAATTATCTGGTGAAAATGTCTATAGTGTCAAGGTTGAGTAACTCTGCTCTAAACAATAGAGTTAAAAGATGGTAGGGTTTCTCAATTCTAGTGACAAATTCAATTTCTTAATTCCTGTGCTGCTTGGTGAAGGAATATGACATAAATTACTCCTGTTATTTTAACTATTACATTGCTCCCAAATAATTTATTCATCAAAAATTTATTTATTGTGGACATATACAATAGTGTGGTAGGCCTGGGGGGTGGTGGTAGGCGTGGGGTGGAGGGGATCAGTGATGGAAAAAAATGGGACACCTATAATACTTTCAACAATAAAGATGAGTTAAATATGTGTGTGTGTGTGTGTGTGTGTGTGTGTATATACATATACACTATACTTATTGTATATTTAAGTTTGCAAGGGTTAATCCTTTCAAGGATTTCAAACTAAAACTAGAGGCCTGGTGCACGAGATTCGTGCACTGGGGGCGGGGAGGGTGTCCCTCAGCCCAACCTGTGTCCTCTCGCAGTCTGGGAGCCCTCGGAGGATGTCCAACTGACAGCTTAGGCCCGGAGGCCAAAAAGGCTCCCACTTCCACTGCTGCACTCGCCAGCTTTGAGCCCTGTGGGAGGGTACTGACCACCAGGGGGCAGACACTCAATGCAGGAGCTGCCCCCTGGTGGTCAGTGCGCATCATAGCGACTGGTCGTTCTGCCATTCAATCGATTTGCATGTTAGGGTTTTATTATATAAGATGCATCAATTTATTTTAATAATCACCAAGAAAGAATGAGCATGGGAAATAATACAATAAATAGTAAATAATCATACCCTATGCCTTTTCTTTCCTGAGGCATTAATTTATTAATTTTGTTGTTGATTGTGTTGAAATATTATGTCCAATAGAAATGAATGAAACAAGCAGATAGTTTGTGAAAAATAAATTCAAATGACCAGTAATTCTGTGACAATTAAATATATAGTATATATACATTTTTTAAAAAGAAGCTATTTCACCTACCAGATTGGCAAAGATTTAATAATTTATTTATTTATTTATTTTTTTTAAAATATATTTTATTGATTTTTTACAGAGAGGAAGGGAGAGAGATAGAGAGTTAGAAACATCGATGAGAGAGAAACATCAATCAGCTGCCTTCTGCACATCTCCTACTGGGGACGTGCCCGCAACCCAGGTACATGCCCTTGACCGGAATCGAACCTGGGACCTTTCAGTCCACAAGCCGACGCTCTATCCACTGAGCCAAACCGGTTTTGGCAAAGATTTAATAATTTAATAATACCCAGTGTTGTGTAGGTTATGGAGGAATAAGCTCTCATGAAGTCTTGGCAGAAATGAAAACTAGTGTAACCTATTTGGAGGATAATTTGGTGATATATATCAAAATTTAACTTGCACATACACTTTGACTCAGGAATTCTACTTCTAGAACTTTAACCTACAAATATGAAAAGATATGTATGTCTGTAGCCATAATATGGTGGGTTGCCTTAGGTCTGAATCCTGACAGTATAGTTTATTATCTTTGTGAAACTGGACAGATTACTTAATTCCTTTATGCCTCATTTTCCTTAAATGTAAAATGGTAATAATGGCATCCAGCTCATAGTGTTAACATTCTATGAATAAATGTGGAATGAATGGAATATTCCTTGGCACATGGCACAGTTTATGTATTATTTTTTGTTTTATTACTACTTACATTAAGGACTGTAAGCACAATGCTTAGGTTTTTCAGAGGCCTTTGGAAATATTCGATATCTGAAAATTTTTTGTTCGTTCCATGATATGAAAAGAAAACTGCTACAAGGTATAATATATCACTTCATTAATTATTAAATTCAGATTACACAAAAACATTTCAAACAATTCGTAGGTTACATTTTCTCACTTTTAATATCTGCATATGAGTGAGGGTATCTAAGAAATCACTTTTTAATATATATGATATTATTTGAATAGAAGCTAAGGACTAGAAAGATCTCAAACAGTCCTTTTATTTGAGCAAAACACTGTAAACACCCTAAATAGCCATTAGTAAAGATTTGGTTAAATGAATTTTAGTATATCTATAATTTTCCCATTATGTAGGTTTTAAATAAAATAAGATAGGTTTATATGTATGCTTATATGGAAAGATATCTGAAGTATATGATAAAGAGCAAAAACAAGTTATAGAATAATATTTATGGTGTGAGCCTATTAATAAAAAATGGTACATATATGTATGTTTGTATATACATAGACTATATCTTGAAATGGAGGAGAATGGATGGGGTAAGTAGGGCAGCATGTTGGGGCAAATATTGGTAATAATGTTAAATAAATATGGTTTTATTTCTCATCTCTTTGAATTCTTTTGTTAGCATGACTATCTCCAGAATATTAGGTATTCATTTTTTCTTTCATTGTGTCAGTTCCTTTTACTAAGCCTTTGTTTCTGAGTCATATGGCTTTAAGTAGTTTTAGAGTAGAACTCTCCCAAAAGCTCTATTTGAAAATGCTAATATTTTATAGAATGTGCTTACCTGTATTCTACATTTTTCCTTAGCCCATTTAAGAGCTTAATGTGTTAATATCAAATAGTATTAAGAAAAACTTCAGGAACATTTCCCTTTTTGTTCTGCATTCCTTTATGTTTGTTTAAGAGGTCAGTGACCACCCTGTCCATTGTGAAAGGTTATGTTAGTTTGGAAGTGAGAATCATTAACATTTGTGACTGCTGGAGAATTTTTCTGTAAATAGGAGTCATATTGGCAGTCTCCCAGACTGCTGATTAGTAGTGACTATGAAACAGAGAATATTGGACCACATTTCTCTTGGACTCTTCACAATTCTTGGCTAGATGTCAGATGCTGTGAATGATTAATTGATATCTTTGTTGAGTGAGTGAGTGAATGAAGACTGTTTTATGGAGAGGTTTCAGGGAGTTTCTGAATAATGGATCTCATGTCTGGCTTCATGTTATGATTTCTTAGGGAGCTTTTAAAAATGCTGATACCTGGGACCCAACCCAAAGCAATTAATTTATTGATGGTAAGATTGGGCACTGGAGTTTTTGGTAAACTTTCCACATGATTTTAATGTGCATACAGGATTGAAAATCTCTGCCATAAGCCCACTCAAGTTGTAGAGGTGTGTGTGTTACTCTCTGGGGGGAAGTCCCTGCAAATTTTTAGAGGGCTTCGTGACCCAAAATGACTAAGGACTAATATTTGAATATCAGTCCATTTCTAATGAACTTACAGTCCTCAAATCTTATAGAATTATTGGGGAGAACTAGCCTTTTTACAATAGACTAACTAGATGACACTTTTTAAGTTTTTCTTTTTCTTAGGTTCTTCATTGTAACATACAATTTATTTTCATTACTAGAAACTTATTTATAAGTTTAATAATTTATTGGTTTTATTTATTGTATCATGTAGCATTTTCTCAAATAAATGTAAGAGGTTCTGAGATTATTATACAACTAGTATCTTTATCCAAAACAAGATTATATAGTTTTGCTGCCTGCCCTTTTTCAGACTTGATGAAAATCCAGTGATAGGAGAGTAAGTGACGTTATCACATTCATCCATCTAAATATGTGCCCCTCAGCATTTTGCTATACTTTTATTAATTACCTATCAATTATATTTATAAATGTTGCATACACACACACACACACACACATACATACACACACACATATATATATATATATACACATTCAGGGTGTCCGAAAAGTGTGTGTGTATGTATATATATATATTGATTGCAGAGAGGAAGGGAGAGGGAGAGAGAGTTAGAAACATCAATGATGAGAGAGAATCATTCATCAGCCACCTCCTGCACGCTCCACACTGGGGATTGAGCTTGCGTCCTGGGCATATGCCCTGACTGGGAATTGAACCATGACCTCCTGGTTGGTAGGTCGACTCTCAACCACCGAGCCACCCCAGCCGGGCTACACACTTTTTTATTGAAACATATCCATGCTCATTCATTTGTCTGTGGTCCACGGGTAGTCTGCTACAATGGCAAAGTTGAGCAGTTGTGACAGAGACAATGTGTGGCATTCTCATTACTTCCCACTACTACTTGGTGCAGTACAGATCATAGTTGACACAGTTATAACTCAATAGCATTTTGAGTGCCACACATACTGCTGCCCAAGATCATTTTATTTACTTTTTAATATTAGTCCATGCCTATTAAGTCAAAACAAGAAAATAAAATGGATTTTGAGTGTCATACTTCTAAGTCACAGTGGAGTGTGGATTATTTTGTTATTGAATTAGATGGTAAAGCATTGTGTTTATTTTGCAGTGACACCCTGGCTGTGCTAAAATAATGCAATATATGCTTACATTACCAAATACACATGCCGCTCAATATTACCAGCTCAGAGAACAGTGCTAGTCAGAAAACTGAGAGGATTTAAAATGGAATACCTCATTACAGCAGACTTTCTTCAGAAAAATATAATATGTAATTGAGAATGCAACCAAAATAAGTTTCTGGGTGGCTCATTTGTTAGCCAAGTAAGCAAAGCCATTTACCAATGATGAATTAATTAAGTAGTTTCATTATAGTAACTGAAGAAATATGTCCAATGAAAATAAACATGTTATAACAATTAGTGTTTTTTTTAATATATTTTATTGATTTTTTTACAGAGAGGAAGGGAGAGGGATAGGGAGTTAGAAACATCGATCAGCTGCCTCCTGCACACTCCCCACTGGGGATGTGCCCGCAACCAAGGTACATGCCCTTGACTGGAATCGAACCCGGGACCCTTGAGTCCGCAGGCCGATGCTCTATCCACTGAGCCAAACTGGTCAGGGCACAATTAGTTTTTCAGTGAGAATATTTGCTTGAAGAGCTGAGCCATTGAGAGCTACATCATTAGTTGATTAAAAAAAAACTCAGATAATTTCATGTGCTTTCCCCTGACTCTTGATGAATCAGCAGGTGTGATCAAAAAGTGCTCAGCTGTTGTTTATTTGAAGAGTCGATGCCTAGTTTTAAGTGACTGAAGGCTTACTCTCTGTGAATAGCCTGAGTGGGTCAACTACAGATAAGAATATTTTCAAGGAATTAAGACAACACTAATCCAGTACAAACTGAAGTTGAATCTTTTAAGATGTGTAACAAATGATGGTGTTAAAAATATGTGTGGATCAGAAAGAGGCTTAGTTGAACAAATTTACAAAGCATATGGAAATGTTAAGAGTTTTAATCCTATGGTTAGTCATTATATTATCCATCACCGAGTACTTTGTGAAAAATATTTGAATCTAACCAGATGTTATTGAATCAATCATGTCACCAATGACCTTCATTTGCTCTTGTGGACTTTACCATCATCCATTACATGAATTTTTGTTAGAAATTGAAACTGAATATCTTGACTTGCCCTATCACGTAGGACTTTGATGATTTAGAAGTGGAAAGTTTTATTGGTGGTTTTTTTGGTTTGTTTGTTTATTTTTAGTTCAGAGCCCAGATTGTAAGTGAGAATCATTATTCACTATTAATCAGCAGTCTGGGAGACTGCCAGTATGACTCCTATTTATAGAGAAATTCTCCAGAAGTCACAATATTTCTAAATAATCAAAATTTGCCTCAACTGTTGTTATTGGACACTGAATTCTAAAAGTTTTGGATATTAGCTTGTGCTAAAGACTTGATAATTTTCCTGTTGAATTCAACCTAAAATTACGAGCTAATATAGTGCTTATATGCAGAACATACATGCAGTAAAGTCATTTAGATGACAACTAATGTTATTTGAATCCCAGGAAATGTCAGATTGTTTTATACTTCCTGTGCAGTCCAACATTTAAACATAAAGCAAGATCACCATTCTTATAAAATTTGTAGCTGATGAATTTTCTGGGTTCAAGCTATGTTTCTAGCAGCATGTTTTGGAACTTGGTGCAAATATTTCGACATTTCAAAATCCACTTAATTGTGCAATTGAGGAGTTCCCACCTAACTTTAGAAGTGATGAATGTTCAATATAGTGACTTGCTAAAAAGCATGCAATATAATTTTATAAATGCCAGCTAAGCAGTAAATATATTCAATTGAAATCATATGCTCATGGATTGATAATGGTATTTGGCAACACTCATCTGTGTTGAAAGATATTTTCAAAGATCAAATACATAAAATCTCATTATATATCTGCTTTAGCAAGTGAACATTTGTAGCTGATTTTGATAATAAGCACTAGCTGTGAATTTCAATAAAGGTAAACATTATCACACTAAAAATATTTCTATCTGCATAGTAGACTGTTATTATGCTAAGTTATACTCAATTATTATTATTATATTTTGAATTTGTCAAAATATTTGTGAATATTTTTTCTCATATTAATATCTATATAATATTCCTTGATTTTGTCTCTTGGTGGAAAAGCCTACAATATTTTACTCTCCAGACCTTTATAGAAACTGCTGACTGTTGTGGGAATGGCACCCATTTTACCTATTAAACTGTCTGAATCAACTTTCTCAATTGGTGGCATGACAAACACTGCAATACTCTCATGTCTTAAGAAGGGCCTTGGTTTTATCAAGTCTGTTTTTGCCTGTTTTCAAAGTCTTTGCCCAAGTTTTGTTTTTGGGTGAATTATATGAGGCTATGTTAGGGAATACTTTTTCAAAGAGTGGATTGGAAAGATTTGGAAATATGCAAAATATTAGAAGCAGATGCTATGTTAGGAAAGGTTGATTAAGGGAAACAAAGAGGTTACACAGAATGTAGGTGGATTTGTCAGATTGCAGGTGGCTATCTTAATCAGCTTAACAATAACCCACAACCGTCGGACCAACTCAGGTGGCTATCTTTAACAAAAACTTTTGCATGGTTGATTAGAAGTCACCTGTTTAATTTTGGGAAAAACTAATACATATTTGTGCAATGGTATAGAAGGTTATACATAAATTGCTGTGAGATTAATAAAAAAAGGCTTATTCCCTTTATGCTGAAGTAATAAAGATGTCAGCAAATTACTTCAGGCAACTGTCACCCTTATTCCATTTGTTTTTTTATTAACCCAAATATCACAATTAATGTGACAGTATTGGAAACTTATAATTTTTTAGGAAGTTGGGTCTCTGTAAGAGTGCTGTAAGATATAGATGATGTTATCCAGTGGTTTGGGAATACAAAAAGTGTTGTATAAGTACTGAAAACTTGTTATGATCCATAGTAATTATTTTAGGCTTTTTAATCTTAAAATACAGTCAAATTCTTAAAAATTAACTAATGCATGCAGATGATAAAAATCTGCAAAATCTTACAGGAGGGTTTACAATGAAAATCAAGGTTCTCCCTCTTTTTTTATAGACCCCATTTCTTGTTTCCAGTGTTAATTCATTAAAAAAATGTATGTATCTTTTCAGTATATATATATAAGCACTACATGTATATAAATTGTCTACTTAAATGGGGTTATTCTGTGCATAGTTTTTGCCTTGTTCTCTTAACATTTATGAACTCTTAATAGGGTATAGTGTTTTACTGCTTTCATGTAACATGATTTTTGAATTTAGTTATTTATTGATGGACATTTAAATTATTCCTCAGTTTGTAAATATTGCCAGTGCTGGAAGCAGGTTTTGTGGAGACTGAAGCTTACACAATTTTTGGGGGGGAGAGGGGGAACTAGAACAAATACCATACATACTTACAAATATAAAATTAAGTATAGACCCTTGGAAGGTATCTTGCAAGTGAGGTGCCTGAAGGTTATGTGTCATTAGCGTTATCGTAAGTTCACCTTTGCTTACTGAAATTACAAGTAGTGCTACAATAAACATCCCTGTGATTACATCTATTTGCACTCATTGAAGCATATTATTTTGGATAAATTTTATGAGGTGGAATTAATAAAATGGACTCCCGATCACAGCATGTACCTGGGTTGCACTTTGGATCCCCCTGCCCCAGCTGGGAGGCAACCAATCTATATGTCTCTCTCACAATGATCTCTCTTTCTCTTTCTCTCTTTCTCTCTCTTTCTCTCTCTTTCTCTCTCTTTCTCTCTTTCTCTCCCTCTCCCTCTCCCTCTCTCTTCCCTGTTTCCACTCTCTAAAAATCAATGGAAAACATCCTTGGGTGAGGATTAACAAAAAAACAACAACAAAATGGTCTGCTTTGTACCATTCAATAAGATAGCCACTAGCCACATGAGTCTGTTCAGCCCTTAAAATGAGGCAAATGCAACTGAGGGACTGAAATTTTACTTTACTTTAAATTAAATTACATTTGGCTACTGTTTTGGACATCACAACCTTAAATGTCTGAGTGTGTGTGAGTGTGTGGTGAGTGTGTGTGTGTGTGTGTGTGTGTGTGTGAAGTGAATGTAATTAATGTATGGACTGATAATGAGGAAACTGTTCATTCTAGGTTGAAAACTTTAGCAGAGGAACTTATGCAGACACAGCAAATGCTATTAAACAAGGAGGAGGCTGTCCTGGAGCTAGAGAAAAGAATTGAGGAATCTTCTAAGACCTATGAAAAGAAGTCTGAGTAAGTAAAACAAAAATAACTTGAAGGAAGAAAGTGTAATTGATAATATGTTACTAAATACTCCATTTACATGTATTATGGATTTAAAATTTCTAGAAGCTGAAATTTCATTTTAAGTATAAAACTTAGAAACTTTCGAGGACTCTAGAAAAATAGTATGTGTTTGTTAATATAGTGTACAGATTATATATCTTAATATTTTACATTTAAATACTTTTCTGAAAAATCCTGTTAAAAGTTGTCTTTATTTCCCCTCATCACTGGCCACAAGATTCATTGTGAATTCCTTGTTAAGAAAGTGACAGGCCAGTTATATGTAGAAATTGGCTTCTGTGTTAGAAAGAAGCAAACATATTAAAAAATAGCAGTCTGCTTCACCTATAAAAATCATATTGAGATTTGCAGTGCTGTTTTTGTGTCACCATTGTTTTTCTTGCTCATTTCTAGATCTTTAAATGTTTTTCCAAAACCTCTGATTTTACTTGTCTTGTTAAACTCTTGCTTTTAATTTTTGTGTTAATTATGTTTTCTACTGTTTTAAGTAAATGTTGAAAAAAATTAAAAATTCTAATTCAACTTTGTCAAGATTTGCATCTCCAACAGGGATTAGTTTCTTTCATATGACTAGCCCAAGTAGCGTTCCTTCTGTTGTACTCTCACATACTCAAGGAAATTGCGATGTGTCGGATTTCTCTCTTTGGTCTATACTTGCTCTTACTTTCACAACTTTTCAAATATTTACTTTTCTCAAATCTCTGATCTCCTTATCTCTCCCACTGAAGTCAAAGAATATCTCTCCTACATTGTAGAAAGAGTTAGAATCATCAGGTGGCAATTCTTATTTTCTGGGACTAGATATCCAAATCCACCACATTTGTTCCCATTCTCTTTTCTTCCATAGAAGAACTGCTCCTTGTTCTAAGTCTGTTTCTTGTGTCTGTCTCTTGTATCCCATCATCTCTTACTTTTTTTAGAAAATTTGCATTATTTTATATATTATGTCCAACTTTTTCTCTCAACAGGATCCTATGTCACTTTTTAAATATGCCTGTCTTTTAAAAAAATGTTTTTATTGATTTTAGAGAGAGCAGAAGGGAGAAGGGGAGAGAGATAGAAACATCAGTGAGGAAGAAACATGAATCAGGTGCCTCCTGCACTCCCCATACTGGGGATGGAGTCAGGCTATGCCCTGACCTCTGAATTGAACTGGTGACTTCTGGGTACATGGGATGATGCGCAACTAATTGAGCCACACTGGTTAGGGCTTTGCTTTGGTCTTGATCCTAAAAATAATCTTCACCTCTCTGCCCACTCCAGATAACTCTTTCTAAATTTTCATAGTTCCTCTGTCGTTGCTTTCTGTTTTCTTAGTCAAACTTGTTCCAAGAGTAATTATGCACAAGCATTTTCTCAACTCCCACTTAGTTCTCAACCTGCATATATCTGGCTTCTGCCCATTACTGTTGAAATAGGTATGTGTAAGATCACCAATGATCTCTACATTACTAAATTTAGCAACTGTTTTACTTGATCTCTTCCTTACTTGAAGTTTGTCTTTGACTTTATTGACTTTATGTTTCTTCTTTTCTTTTCTTTTTAAAAAAATGTATATATTGATTTCAGAGTGGAAGAGAGAGGGAGAGAGAGACAGAGAAACATCAATGATGAGAGAGAATCATTGATCGGCTGCCACCTGCACGCCCCACACTGGGGATCAAGTCTGCAACCCGGGCATATGCCCTTGACCCGAATCGAATCTAGAACCCTTCAGTCCGCAGGCTGACGCTCTATCCGTTGAGCCAAACCGGCTCGGGCTATGTTTCTTCTTTTCAATTGGCCTTTGGGACCCAATATGCCAGATCTTACTCCTCTCTTTCTGGCCACTCCTTCTTTATAAACCTGTTTTCCTCCACTCAGCCAATCCATTTTGGAGTTAGTAAAGGCATGGCCCCAGGTTATGCCACCCACCTTCCTGAACTCTATCTCTAGATGATCGCCTAAAGGTGACCCATATTTATTACTTCCAGATTTCTCCTCTGAACTGTCTGGCCATGCAGTCATTTGCCTACTTGACAGGCCTACTTGGGTGTCTTAAAAATACCCTAAATTGTCTGTGTCCAAGGCTGAATTAAAAATTTCAATCTAACCCAATTCAATCCAACCTAGTTCACTCTTAGTATTCCTTATTTCAGTGAATGGCAGCACCATTCATCCTATTATACAACTCAGCATGGTAGGAGCCTGCACCTTTCATTTATAGGATGGCTCTTATTACAGCTTGGTGTTAAATATCATATTGGAGTCACTGAGCCTTTCAGAGGTAAGAATAGAAATTTAAGTTACTCTGGACATTCCTTTAATTTGAAAAATTTCAGTTTTGTATCACTAAAAATCTTCTATTTGGATTATAAAAATAAAATCTATCAACTGTTGCTAATATTACATTCAAAATGGAATTATCTTTTGTTTTTTTCTATTTGCAAATAAATTTCTTCCCATGTATACAGAAGACAAAGCTGTTCTACTTTTTACAGCTTTTAAATGAACACATTGTAAATGACTCCTGTTTTAAAATTTAGTGATTATAAAGAAAGACAATAGGGTAGCTGACTTTCTCACCCGTATGTATGACCATATATTGTTGGAAGAGGCAATCTTCAAGTTTTATCTTAATGTAGAAGTTGTGGGTTTCTTTGTTTTTTGGTGTGCTTTCTTGACTCAAATCGTTGACTTTGACTCTTTATCTACATAATCAGTGTGATCCATGTTCCTTCACCTATTTATATTTATCAGGAGATGAGAGTGGGAGTAGAGGAGAGGGGTTTACATGTAAAGAGTGGTGGATATATGGGAAATAGCATTTCTTGAGTTCTTACTCTGTTCTACACATTATATTGGATGTTTTATATACTAGTATAGTAAGCCAATGAATGTTATCTTTATTTTGCTTTCTGTATAATTGCTCATATTTTAACTTTAGGAGAATTTAGATAACTTAGAATAACATGCCTAATAAGTGGTAGAAAACACATGAGTCTCTGACTCAAAAGTTTCTATCTTTTTTGATCACAGAATTTGCTTGATCTTATGATTTTAATAGTGCTTTTAGGAGAATAAATTAGAAGGGATAAGTATGTCAAGCAATACAGAGGATGAGTCTTGTTTAACCCAAGTTCTATTAGCCCTTCGTTACCATGGGAGTTTTATTGCTAGCTTCAATAAAAAAATCTTAAAAATGTTAAGTATATTTACATAAGGAAATAGTCATTGTGGAATCTCATTAATTTATACATTAGTAGGGTTGAAGTTTGTCTTTGAATAATATGTTAAAGTATTTTGATAAACAAATAGTCTTCAGGGATTCTGGGGAAATGTTTGATTTTCAATTTTGTGTTTCCTTTTTGTGTGTGTGTGTGTGTGTGTGTATATATATATATATTTAACTGCACTTAAATAATTAAAATCAATTTTTATTCAGTTTTAAAAGTAGATTTAGAATTATTTTTACTCTGTAACACATTAGCTTCGTATACAATGCTACTTGAAAATAACAAAACAATAAAATGGTATTTTCTCACAAATACTATTTACATTCTTAAATTAATGGAATCATACTGAATTTTTGCTTACCATTCTTGGATCTATTAAAATATAATAAAGGACTAAAGTTAAAACCTACAAATTTGGATTTAAGTAATTATCTCTAAAACATCTTATAGTAACAGTGACAAAATATATAAGAAATCATTTGATAGTTTTGATTCCTATAATAGAGTGATATGAAGTGAAAAGTGAACTTAGAGAATGATTTTTCTATAACATGAATTTCACACAAGAACAGAATTTTAGCTCATATAAATAATGTAGCCCTCAGTTGAAATGTTGCAGAATTTTATTTAAAAAAATAAGGTAAAGAGAGTAAAACCAACCACTAAAAATGGTATGATTGTAATACAACATAAAGCACCACTCTAGTGTACATATCTTTACTCATTACTTTTAGAGTATGTTTACTCAACTGGAAATAATATAAATCTTCACTTGATTTATGATCCTTGACTACTGATTAGAACATAGTTTATGGGAAAATATACCAAGCATATGTCTTTTATGACTCAGTGGCATAAAGAGCTAGACTATTACTGTTGGTTTTAGGGCTTGGTTTTAGATTCAAAAAGAGAATGATTAATTTTGTACCAAAATCACCTAGTACTTAAAAATACTGTCTACATCATAAAATCATAACTCCTAGAGCCATGCAGGATCTTAAGAGAGTTTTTGATTCATAATTGCCTTTCAAATTATATGATATCCGCAGCCCAGACGTTTTAAGAGATTTGCAAAATGCCACATCTAGCCTGTAGTGAAGGTAAGAATTGAACCATCTAAAATATTGTTCTAGTCTGCAAATTCAGGGTACTTTTAATTTGGACTCAGCACTTTTAAATTACGCGCATTACCAAAAAATGTGCTCTGTAAATAGGAAATCTATTCAACAATATTTTTTGCATGTCTGCTAAGTGCTGTGAATACAATGAAAGGTAAGACATATATGGCTACATGTCTCATGAAGCTTATACTTTTGTGGAATGCACCAGTACAACACAAGAAATTAACAATTGTGATAATTGCTGTGAAACAGGTAGTTCTGATAGAACAGAGGAGCACCTACTAAATTTAGGTGGCCAGGGTCTCCTGGGAAATGGCATCTTTGCTGAGACCTGGAAGATGGAAGGTGCCATCCACGTGAAGAGGAGTTTGAGATAGCGATAAGTAGCACATGTATAGGTTCTGATCCCTTCCATTTTTTAAATTTACTTATGGCTTTTTATGCATCTTGTGTTATTTAATCATGTATTTACTATAATTTTCTTCTTATTAAAATATACACATAATAGTTTGCTCAATGGTGTTATAACCATATAAAATAATTGCATGGTGTGTTGTATAGTGATTACAGCAATACTTTAAAAAAAACTATTGAACAAAAGCAAGATGTTAATGTATGTGAAATTGTCATTATACATAGAGCTTAATAGGATTAATTGGAAGAAGCTGGTATTGCTCATTAACTTCATTATAAGACATGAAAATTGACCACAGTCATATAATAGGGCATATGCTGCCCCTGCAAGTCTCGTTGTTTTAAAAATCACTAAAATAAAAACCAAGAAATTTATATTTTAACCTAATTCTTGGTAGTAGGATAGTATTTCAGAATTTCTGATTACAATGTGGTACAATGTAGTTGATACTTAGAACTCGGAAGGAGAATAAAAAAGGCCTGTCCCTATAATAGATTATTTAGGAACCCAGGGCATATGAGACGGCAAAAGCCTCACCTTACCAGAGGAAGCATGATGACAGCAACAGTGATAGACATTTTCAATTAAATTTTTAATTTTGAGGTAATTATAGATTTCTGTCTATGTGTATGACTTAATAGAGGTCCCATGTACTTTATATTCACTTTGCCCCAATGGAAGCATTTTGGAAAAGTGTAATTTAATATTATAATTGTAGATATTGACTTTGATACAGTCATGACTTAGAACGTTTCATCACTGCAAGCATTCCCTCATATTGTACTTTTGTAGCTACACTGCTTTCCTCCCCCTCCTAAGTACCCAGTATCCTTTAATCTGTGCTCCATTTCTACAATTTTGTCTTTCCAAGAATGTTATATAAATAAAATTTCACTGAATGTAGCCTTTTTACGTTAATCAATTCTCTATTTTTTTGTTGGGCTAATCTCCTGAAATTCATTGCCATATAATTCAGGAGATTTCAGCTTTCTTTAGAGCATCACTGAGGTTGCTTCCTACTCAATTTAATTGGCATTGATTTTTAAAATATCAATCAGCATCATATTTATAAATAAAACTCTTTCAGTGTGAGTTCCTTCTGCCTATGCTTACCCAGTTTATGTTGATCCTTTTAAGTTCTATTTGAAGAAGGTAACATTCTGACCTTATTCTCCAACTTTGAAGCTTCCTCTATTGACAATCTATTGTCTCCTACATATAAGTAACTTACTTTCCGTAGTGCATGGCACATTTCTTTAAGATATTAATATACTATGTATGACAGTGTTTCCAAAAGTGCTCCCCACTACCTGGGTTTTCTTTTGTGTGTGTGGCTTAAATATGGTGAGTTAGTTTGAAATTTCCGCTAGGGGCAGCCTCCAAGGGGTAAAAAGTCACAATAAGGCACCATGTGGCTATGTAGTTCTCCAAAGGAGGAATTGGGATATTTTTTATTTTTATAGTGATGACATTGGAAAGATTTGGGGACTTGTGCTCATTCCCTTATTAACAGCTCAGCCCTCAGTATTAGTTAGAACAGCTTTCCCCAACTCTGAACACACACTTCTCCCAATATACATACAACGTGGTCCCAGGCTGTCACCTTGATTTGATTTATTTTACTCCAGGCGCAGATTGGATTCTAGCTATATTCCATGTGAGATATGAAGTACATTTAAGATTCTTCTTCAGTCATGCTAATTCATTTTAGGCCCTACGCTTCTGGACTTAAGTGTCTGTACTCTGCGAGGTAGATGGTTTAGCTGTAAAATAAAATGAATGCTGTAGACCGTAATGTATTTGAAAGTATCTTGAATTTGATTTGAGCTTCCAAACATTTTCTTCCATTTTGTTAATGCTACTCCTATGATGACTCAAAATCTATTTAGTTTCCTAATTCTTCTGATTCTGTAGGATTCATAAAGATGAAAACAAAAGCATATATAAGATTTCTTTATAAGGTTTCTTTAAAGTATGCATTTCTTAAAGAAGTCAATACTTAATGTGTTCTTTTTTAGTATTGTGCTGCTGATAAGCCAAAAACAGACACTTGAAGAGCTGAAACAGTCTGTGCAGCAGCTGAGGTGCACTGAGGCAAAGTTTACGGCACAGAAAGAATTACTAGAGCAAAAAGTGCAAGAAAATGATGGAAAAGAGCCACCTCCAGTAATAAATTATGAAGAAGATGCACGGTCAGTTACATCTATGGTAAGCCGAAGAGTAATCAAACAAGAAACCAGAAGAGTGGTATGTAGGTAATAAGTGAATACAAAAGTCAAGTCTCATTTCTATAACAAATTGTTGCTCTTGTTAATATGCAGGTCCTATTAAACTTGTTTGTAAATGCAAAATAGACTTGTCAGTCACCTTCAGGTCACCTGGTGAGCACTTTCAGGAACCACCTGTAGAGTCAGAGGAAAAAGCTCTTCTCTTGCCTTCAGAACTGAAAACAAAGACTGCAATTGTTTTTATTCCTGGGAGACAGCAGGAAGGTAGGGTGTACTTCTTAAGATAGAAGTAAGAAATAAGGAGAAAGCTATTTATTAATTTTTTTCTTAAGAACAGTAGAATATTATTTATCTGAGATGTGTTTATTGTTTTCACAATAAGATTTTTTCTTATAAATATCCTTAAACTACAATAAACACATTTAAATCCACCAACTAGAAATTTAACTTACTTTATAGTTTTATTAACTGTTTAAGAATACCTAGTACAATACTTTCCCTGTCTCCCTTTATTTCTTCATTTCTTTCTTCTTTCATCTTATGTTGGTGGTTCTCACCAAGGGGCAATTTTACTCCTCCCCCGCTATCCCCACCCCAGCTCCAAAAGACATTTGGCAATGTTTTTATTTATTTATTTTTAATTGAATTTGAGCTTCACAGTTAGTAACTGCTATTGGTATCTAGTGTGTAGAGTCTGGTGATGCTGCTAAACATTCTACAGTGCACAGGACAGCCCCTCAATTCACACACCCAACAAAAATTAACCCAAAATATCAGTAGTGGCAAGGGTGGAGAAGCCTGAGCTATGTCCTTGGCTTTGTCTGTGGAGAGCTGGGTGCAGTCCATATGGAGGACCATCATAGATAATGATACTGTAGTTTATGTTTTAGTAATTTTTGGTTCATGTGGTTCTGAATAGTATAGTTTGAGTGTCAAACAGATTCAGATATCTTACATTGTGAATTTTGAGTTACAATTCTTTGTTCTCTTTTAGTATCCTCTCAGATAAAAAGGACCTCACTTTCTTGCTCATGATTCTTGATAACTATCTGGCATGTGCATGTGCAATCTTTCAGAGGAAATTCTAAAGTTTTTTCTTTTATCAGGTTTTTGAAAACCTCAGCTAGTAAACATTTTGTTTTCTGAGTATAGTTAATAATATGTCCTTGTCTCCATGTGGGTGTAGAATTGGTTACTTAATAGCTTGATTTAGTGGCAGATAGGTTAAAACTGGCCATCTAATTAATTTTAAATAATTCTGTGTTTATATGACCCCTGTTGGCATTATTATTATGATAGGAAAAGATAGTTATTCACAACACTAGATGTAGCATATTCTGATAATTACAACTAAAAACTTGACTTTGACATTTAAAATATACTGGTTCATTAATTCCTATTTATTAAAAGCTTATGATCATTTAGAAATTTTTCTTTCATAATCATTAAAAAGAAACCTTTTAAACAAATCCTATCTAATAAAGAGGGAATATGCAAATTGACCACCACTCAGTCACAAAGATGGTGGTGCCCATAGCCACAAATGGCAGCGCCCAGTCCCCTCAGCCCCGCCGGAGTCCCCCAGTCCTTTCAGCCCTGCCAGAAGGGTGACAGGCACACGGTGTGGCTGGACCTGCCCTCAGCCCCCCAGCTGCCTAGGGTCAGCCCGAGGCACAGGCAAGCCTCAGATGTCGGCCTCCAAGCTGATGCCAGAGGGGCAGGCAAACCTTGGATGGCAGCTGCCCAGTACCCAGGGCTGCCCGAGGCTCAGGTAACCAGGGCCGGCCGAAGCTTGCGCTGCCGACAGTGGCAGCAGCAGAAGTGTGATGGGGGTATTGCCTTCCCCTGATGGCTGGGTTGCCTCCTGCCCCTGAGGGCTCCCGGACTGTGAGAGGGGGTAGGCCTGGCTGAGGGAACCCCTCCAGTGCATGAATTTTCATGCACCAGGCCTCTAGTGAATAAATAATGTTTCAGAGAGAATGTATAATACATTTTAAATTATAGTGTATGCTTCCTCGCACTTTCACATTTTCTCTTGTAACAATTTATTCAATAATGATAATACCTTGTAATTTTTTACAAATTGATGCCAGATATTTCACTTTACCCAATTTATTTTAAATAATTAAAATGCTAATTATAAATATATCAGGTATTTATTGAAACAATGACTTTAATAATTTTTTAAGGAAATTACAAAGGACTAATGTAATATATGTAGTTCAGAGTAATAAAGTAACATTTTATAAATTACTCATTTCCCAAATTGATGCCAATTAATGTGATTTTACAGAATATTTTATAAAACAAGTAGAAATATTTGCAATGCATAGTTCTTAAAACTTAGTAATACTCCCACCTATATAAGTGAACTTTTTGCATAATTAAGCATTATTTTATGAATAATATTTTAATAAAAGCCTGAAATTAACATAAGCAGTTCTGTTAGTATTTCTTCCTTATAAATTTCATGTTTATAAGTGATGTAAAATTTCAACAGGAGAAATTTAGTTGAATGTTGGAAGAATTGAAAGAACTAAAAGTTAAACTATGAAATCATGGAAAATATTAGGTAAAAGTAAGAGAGACAGTTTATTATTCCATATGATCCTAACTAAAGGCACTGTTAACCAAACACTAACTCTGTGGTAGTGAATGCTGCTATGGAAGAATGCCTTCAGGACTGTACCACTGGAAAGCAATGGGTCCTGGATTGTGCATTTTTATAGATATTCCCAGGTGTGTAATCAGGGTTAGGATTGTATAGTCAGGTTAATAAATGTAGTGATTTTAAAAAAATATATATATATAGATTGATTTCAGAGAGGAAAGGGGAGGAAGAGAGAGATAAACATCAATGATGAGAGAGAATCATTGATTGGCTGCTTTCTGCATGCCCCCTACTGGGGATCGAGCCCAAAACCCAGACATGAGCCCTGACCGGGAATCAAACTGTGACCTCCTGGCTCATAGGTCGATGCTCAACCACTGAGCCATGCTGGCCGGGTGATGGAGTGATGTTTATTTTGGCAATATAATTTGATGAAAATTAAAGCCCGCCTATTAATTTACAGAAATCTTTAAAAAATTGTGGCAGCAGATAATATAATCATCTCTGTCAGGAAGATATGCTTTCTAATGTTGTCTTTTTTCACCATGTCTAATTTTGCCTAAAATACAAAGGAGAAAATAATAAATATTAAGTATCACACAATAATTCTTTATTGTCTGTGAATAAGTATGTTTCATTTATTTATTCACTTAATGTTTTTTGAGCACCTGTTATATGTGAAGCTCATTTCTAGATGCTGTGGATACATCAGTGAATAAAACTAATAAAAAAAATCTCTCTTAGAGATTACATTCTGTAGCAAGTGGCTTAGTAAATAAAATAAACTGTGTATTTATAATGGAAGATAATAAATGCGAAGGGGTAGAAATGGAGCGGGGTAGGGGGTTTGGGGTTTAAGGTCAAAGGTTGGGAGACAATTTTAAATGCAAGTCAGGATAAGCATCACTGGGAATGTGACATTTGAACAGACATGAACAGCTAGGCTGTTACTTAATTTCTGGGGAAAGAATATTACAGTCAGAGGGTGCATCTTTTACAAAGGCAGTAAGATAGGAACATGTTTGGACTATTCAGAGTACAGTAAGGAGGTCTGAGTGAGGATATAGGGAGTGAGATTAGAGAAGTAATGGAGAACCTGTAGACCATGATTAAGGATTATAACTTTTCTCTGTGTGAAACGGGGAGGCGTTGGTGAGAGGGGGTTATGATAGAGGAATGGCATGCTCTGACTTTGAATTAAGTGGATCATTATAGGTGTGTTGAGAATATACTTAAGGGGAACAAAGATGGAAGAAGAATGCTAACACCGGGTATAGAAAATGACAGTTTGAGCAAGGATGATAGCACAGAAGTGCCAGGGACCTTTTAGCTCCTGAATATATTTTGAAGGTTGAGCCTATGGATTAATTGTGGAGCATGAGAGAGAAGAGCCAAGGATGTCTTTAAGATTTTTAGCAGGAACATTAGAAGAATAGAATTTGTTTCAAGTGCATGAATAGACTACACATTGAGCAGCTTTGATGAGGAAGAGCAAGACTCCAATTTGTCCATAAAAACAAATATTTGGGCCTGGAGTTCAGCCACCTGCTTGTAGGCATTAATGGTATTTGAAATCATTTCACTGTACGAGGTCATCAAGTGAGTGAGGACAGATAGAGGAGAAAAGAGAAACAAAGGCTGAGGCACTGCAAGGTAGGGATCTTGGAGAGAAGGAATCAGTAAGAAACTGGGGAGAGACCAGTGAGGTAGCAGAAAAAACAAAATTAATGTCCTTGAAATGTTTTAAGGGGAAATGAGTTTTACAATTTGGGACATGCTGAGTTAAGGCAAAGCAGTTGTATTGGCTGGAGAAGTTTTCTGAACTTTTAATATCAAATTCCCAAGAGAGGAAATATAGCATGGAATGGAGTGTCTTTGGAATACTGGCCTGACCACTCTTCAAAAAGAGTCCTGAAAGGACCACCATACAGTGAACCATCCTTTGGAAAATGCTGAGCTAGAAGGTAGATCCTTTCTTATCTAATTGGGTTCTTGATAGATTAAGTGTGCTGATAATTTAGAAGGCATCTTAGTTGTCTAAATGCTCTAGAACCCAAGGATTATTTTCTCTCATTCTTCAGTTATAGCTCCGCAGGACAGAAGAATCTGCCTTCTGGGGCAAATTGAGAGGGTGAACTCTTTGTTAGCTGCCCTTGAATAATGGTGGAAATACCAGACTTTTCTGATCCCTGAGTCAACATTGGCTGATGTTCCTATTTATTTAATTTATTTATTTGATTATTGAAAAATATCACTTTTCTTCATGTTTGATTTTAGCTTTCTAGTTGTAAGATTATAATTTTTCAATCAGTATCTGTTGAATTGAGGAATTGGACTTCCTTTTCACTGCAGAGTAATCTAGTTATTTT